AGAGAGAGAGAGAGAGAGAGAGAGAGAGAGAGGGAGAGGATGGACTCGGTCAGCGGCAGGGAAGGGCCAAAGGGAAAGCAGGGAGGCGAGGCCAGACGCACCGACTCGGAGAAAGCAGCAAACACCTCGCGCGGGGTCTGAACGGCTTGGATGTCCACCCACTCGGGGGCCAGCTCGCCCTGGATTTGTCAAGGAACAGGAAAAAAAACACCGCCCGAGAGTCAGCTTCACGAGGCAGGGAGACATCAAAGGAAGGGAGGGTGGGGGCCAAAGAAAAGAAGGACCCCAGAAGCTGATGGCACGGACATTCTTCTCCGAGTGAATGAGCACTCGGTTGCCATTGTTGTGGGCCTCCTTCTGCACGTCGACCTTGAGGCAAAGTTCAATCTGCTCGAGGCTGGGAGGAACGCAAGTTAGCCGGGGCCCGCGGATGCCAGGAGGAGGGGCCGCCTGGAGGGCACAACGCACCGGTCGCCGGAGATGCCGCGGAAGGACCGGCCACGCGAAGGATCGGCCCGGACACCGAAGGAGGCATCGGCATCACGAACGACAAATGGCACGCCATTAATGTAGACCACGGGCTCCTCGCGCAAATTCACCCACAGCAGGGAGGTATCGGCCTGAACAACCAATTGAGCAGCATGCGCATCGGCCGCCAGGGGGGTGGCCCCGGTCGGCGGGTGCTGCGCCAGGAGCTCCTGCTTCACGGCCTCCACCACGCGGCGGATCTCACTGGCAGATGGCTGTGGCACGGCGTAGATCTGCCGGGGGGAGGGGGGGGGGGGGGGGGGGGAGAAGGAGGGGCGCCAAACGATGGCCCATGTCAGGTGGTACTCGCTGCGGGGGAGGAGGAGGCGGGGAAAGGGGGAAGGAAGAAACACCAGGCCGCGCCGGGACGGGGGGGGAGGGGGGGGGGGGCGAGGCAAAAGGAGACCCAACGTACTGGCAGACCGACACCCGGCATGCGGCGATACTCGCAACGCTGGGGCCCACCGGCCGACGGACGCCCTTGGCTGCCCAGGAGGCTATTGGTCATCAGGCCCGGCAGGCAGCTCTCCGAGTGGTCCTCCTCCAAATCCAGGGTGTCGCCATCGAAGATGGTGGTGACGGTGGCCCGGGCGTCGGAGCCGGCCTGGCCGGCCGGGGGCACGGCGGCATCGGAGTCCAAGGAAGCCCGCCGCGAAAGGGACCCCCGGCGATGGCGCCGTGCCAAATCCAGGGTGGTCATCGAGTCGGCCGGATCCCCGAGGACCCCGCCGCAGAGGACATCGATGCCGGATTCCGGCAAGCTGTCCTTGGAAATGTCGGGCTCGGTCACATCATCCGGGGACAGGAGCTCGCCCGAGGCATTGCGTGACAAGCTCTGGCCGGTGGCGGAGCGCTGCTTGGCCGCAGTCCAGGTGTCCGGCTTGAGGATCGTGTGGCAGGCTAGAACCACTCCAGAGCGGGCCTGGGTCCCCATGTTCCGAAGGGAGGCGGGCAGGCGAGGGCAGGAGGAAGAAGAGACCGATGCCAGTCCAGTCAGCGAGTCGCAAAGATGGGAACATGCCCGGCGGGGGGAAGAACACGCGACTCCAGACCAAAAGGCAAACAGCCAGGCAGCCAGGCACGTACACTGACGAAGAGATCCATCGCGGTGGTTGTGGCACCAGGATGGCCGGCCAGATGCGCCGGAACTGGCGCACCCACCGGACCAGGCAGCCGCAGAGTGTCGATGGGGCTGAAGTTCTGGCTGGCAGGGGACCGGCGGCGGACCTTCAACAAAATGGACAGCAGCTCCGGGCGCTGCTCCAGCCAGAGGCCATAGGAAGCCGGCCCGGCCGGGGACCCGGGCACCGCCGGGAAGGGCGAGCTCCCGAGGAAAGCCAACAACTGTTGGAACCCCCCGCGCGAGTGGTGCAGCACATACGCCGAGAAGGGGATCAATGACAGGTAGCGGAAGAGGTCGCGCGTGGCCGGGCCCAGGCGCGCCTCCTCGCCAAAGTCGTCGTCCTCCAGGCCAAGGCTGGCCGGGCCCAGCAGCCGCCGGTCCCCGGGGGCAGCCAGCTCGCTGCCCAGGACATCGCCATCGCCACCGCCGCCGTAGAAGTACCGCCGGGACTCGGAAAGCTCCAAGTGCGAGGAGGCAGCCAGCCGGGCCAGCCGCCGCTGGGCCTGGACAGTGGCCGCATGTGAAGCCGCCGCCAGCCGGGCATCCAGGATGGCCTCCCGCAAGTGCACCCGCGCGGAGCAGTGGTCCAGCGCCGAATCGATGACCGCCTTGCAGGGGGGGCCATCGAAGGCCAGCGCGGCGATCAGGTCTCGCGCCACGGCGTACTCCCCGCCGAGGGCCGCCAACAGCCGATCAATGACTCCGGGCGTGGCGAGCAGCATCTGCGCCCAGCCGGGCGGGCCGCCCTGGCGGTTGGCCAGGGCCAACAGCCGGAGGATGAGCTGATCGCGCGAGGTGGGGGCCGGCCCGGCGGCCGGGCTGCTGGCCGCCAGCTGGTGTAGCTGTCGACGCGTCATGCCCAGCGACTGGGTGCCATACATGGCCGGCTGACTGAAGAAGGGCTCGCCAACGATGTAGGCCGACCGGAGGATCCACGCCAGGGCCATGAGCATGGAGGCTGGACAAAGCCATGGGAAGAGGCGTCAGCGGGACATATGCCGGTCGAGGGCACGAAACAGGGAGTAGGGCAGGGGGCAGGCGGGGGTGACTTGACAGAGGAGGCTACGCACAACGCCCGGCGCCGGACTGGCAGCTGAAGATCAAGACCGCCGGGAGGTCGGATACAGAAGCCGGGGGCATGCCATCGTTCGAGTCCATCGGGGAAGAGACCAACGGCGAGGGGCGCTGGTGCGAAGTGGGCGAGGGGGGACGCGAGGCGGGGAAGGAGGATCCCCCACGGCGGGGATCCAGCACGATGGACGCCAGACGATCGAGGCCGCGTGTGTCCGGTGCGCGTCCGGCCGTCACCGGGACGCGCTCCAGGTGGATGTCAAAGTTCCGAGCACTGCCAAGGGCCGCGGGTCAGACGGAGACTGGGCGAGCAACCGACAGGAGACGGCGCCACACATGCGGAGGAGGGGGGGGGGGGGGCGACGCACCGGACCGAGGCAAACATCTCCGAGGGGGTGAGGATCTCGCGGGCGTAGATCCAGCAGGCAATAATGCGCCCGTCTGGGCGGGGAAAATGCACGCAAGCAGGCGGCCGGAGAGCATGGGGAGAAGTTAGGAGACGTATGTCGGACAGCCGGCGGGAGGAGGGCACCGGGAGGACCCACGGCACGCACCAATCTCCTCGTGCACAAGGATCAGCCCGCCGGGATGGCTGCGGCCGGGCAGGTCGAGGGTCGACGAGTCGCTGAGGCTGGTGCTGGAGGAAGTGTCCGACGAGGAGGAGGAGGAGGACGACGCGACAGCCCCATGGCGGCCATCCGTCGGGCGGGTCTGGTAGTGGTGCCACATGGACGACTCGCTGAGACAGTCATCGCGCAGGCGGCGCTCAATGCCATCGAGCCGGGATGCGGCGACCCCGGCGAAGCGCCGGGTGTCGCGCTGCGGCGCCGCCTCCTCGCGGAGGACATACGGCCGGCCGTTGATGTAGACGATGGGCTCTTGGCGGGTGGAGACCCAGACACAGCGCCGGCGGGCGCTCGGCTCGGAGGCAGCCCCGCTGCCGAGGATCGACAGAACGGTCTCTGTGGCGGGAGAGCCGGCAAAGGGCCCCGATGGCCAGGAAGGCGAGGACCGAGCGCAAAGCAAGTAAGTAAGGCAGCCCAGGCGGAGGACCAGCATCCCGGGCCGGGGGAGACCGGCCACCGAAACGCACCCAGACCCTCGACATCTGGCTGGGCCGAGGCGTAGATGTCAAAGCGCGAGTCCTCCACCGGGGCCGGACTGCCAGCCAGCGAGGAGGACGACAGCGGCAAGCCGCCGATGCGCCGGAAGAGCGGAGCCCCGGGGATGAGCGGATGACCGGGCGCCCCGCCCGAGCCGGAGAGCAGATGCCGCGGCAGCGACAGCGAGGTGGACCCGCCCGCCTCCGGAGCCAGGGTCGGCTGGTCCGGTGCGCCGGGAGCCGTGAAGTGGCGATCGGCCTTGAGGATCATCCCTCGGGACAGGACCGACCCGGTGCGGAAGGGCGAGTGCGTGGACAGGCCGGACACCAGCTGGCCAAGCGGGTCCGACGGTGGGCTGGGCTTGGCGCCGGCCGGCCCGGAGGAGGCCCCCATCAGGGGGGTGGTGGTGATGTAGTGAGACATCCCACACTGGTGCCGAGAAGGGGGGGGAAGGGGGGGGCTTCTTGTACAGCACATGCCCCCCTAGGCCGCGCACTATATGGAGACAGGGGGCCAGCGAGGAGGGTCACTCTCTCGGTCTCTTTCTCTTGTGTGTGGGCGCTCGTCTCTCGGCGCGCGCGAGGGGGACTTTTGAAGTCGTCTTTCGTATTTACGACATCGCGCACCGGGGCAGGGTGCGGTGAGAGCGCCGAGGGGGAAGAGAGGAGAGGAGGAGGAGGAAGAGCGGGGGCCAACATGTGCGGAATATCTAAGCGAAGCACAGGGGGGCGCGCGCGTGCGCGCGCCCGTCCTTCTTCTCTGCGCGCTGTGTGAGGTTCTCTCTCTCTCTCTCTCTCTCTCTCTCTCTCTCTCTCTCTCTCTCTCTCTCTTAAGTGGCTACCTTACAGGTCACCGGCAATAGGAGAGCCACCGGCGGCCATGCCCCCGGCAAAGTCGTCCTCAAGCTCGATGATGGCCGGCTGCTCGAGCGGCGAAAGGATGCTATCCTCGCCGAAGAGCTGGTTCTGAATGCGCTCCCCAAAGACATAGTAGAAGAGGAAGACCGCGGCGAAGAACTGCACCGTGTAGAAAGAGGCCACCAGCAGCCAGCTGAGCACGCGGTTGCGAGCGGGGTTCCCAGGCAGGGAGGCAGGGATGAAGCGCTCGGTGCCGAGGTAGTAGTTGAAGATGTAGGTGGGCCAGTCGATGGTGGCGGCATCGAAGTTGAAGTTCTCGCGATCCTCCGGGGACATGGCAGCCGCCAGGGCGGCGACATTGCCGGCGTCCCAGGTCCACGCGTGGGTGGTGAAGGGAGTGTAGGCACCGATGCT